TCCCGGTCCTGGCCCGGCTGCCGCGCTGCGCCCAATCCGCTCCGGAGTCTAGGCGCGGGTCCTAACCTTCCCGGCCCTCTCCTGACACCTGGTGGATGGCGTCACCAGAACTCCGAGCTGTGGAACCCTAGGGTACCTGTTACCGCGCTTTGGCGAAACTGGGTCCGCTGCTGATTTGCGAACCTTTGCCTGACTTTCTCAGGCCTTGAGAGATCTCCGAGGTAAATTTGGTGGCCCATTGAAAGGATCGGGAGAGAGCGTGTGAAGGTAACACCCCGGTAAAGTGCACGTGGCCTCAGACTGCTCCTGTGGAGAGCCGTTGGTACTTGGAGCCTGAGAAGATACTCAGGGAAACCAGAAGTGGGCAAGAGGAAAAGGGGAAGGGACTTGGGAAAACCTGGCACCAGAGGCGTTTCTGGGACTTCCAAGACTCGAAGCCCCAGGGGCTCACCCGCTGCATTCCTGTCTTTGCCCCTTTTCCTACAGATCTGCCTCTTCTCCAAGGAACTCAACCACTAGTGACAATGACCAGCCTCCTGACCACTCCTTCTCCGAGAGGTAGGCGAAGGCCTTTCCTAATCCCAGTGAGAAAGAATTGGTCAACATTCCCTTCCCCAGACCAGTCCTGGAAGCCTCAGCCCTGGTGGGAAGACTCCTGCCTCTCTCCGCCTGTCTCACACGGGAAAGGCCTGGGAGGAAGCAGGAACTCTAGAGTGTGCCCCTTAGTACTGTTTTAATCTGAAGTCACATGGACATGGTGACTTCACTACCACTTAAAGCTTTGTAACCTCGGTTTATCCAATGATTTTATGTCAGTAATCCCAGGACTTTGGGAGACTGAGGCAAGAGGATCTCTTGAGGCCAGGTGTTTGAGACTTGCCTGGGCAACATAGTGAGACCCCCATCTCTAATTCAAAAGAAAGAAAGAGGCCAGGTGTGGTGGCTCATGTCTGTAATCCCAGCAGTTTGGGAGGCCGAGGTGGGCGGATCACCTGAGGTCAGGAGTTTGAGACCAGCCTGGCCAACATGGTGAAACCCCATCTCTACTAAAAATACAAAGAAATTAGCCAGGCTAGTTTTTTATTTTTAATAGAGAGATGGTTTCACACCTGTAATCCCAGCTACTCAGGAGGCTGAGGCATGGGAATCACTTGAACCCAGGAGGCACAGGTGAGCTGAGATTGTGCCATTGCACTCCAGCCTGGGCAACAGAGTGAGACCCATCTCAAAAAATAGGGAGGGAGGGAGGGAAGGAGGAGAGAGGGAAGGAAAGGAAGAAAGGAAGGAAGGAAGACTGATTATTTTATAAGCCTAAAGGAAGGGCTTTACTTTCATCCCTCTAATAATTTATAGCTATGGCAAAGAATTAGCAGAAAGCCTTATAGTTAAATGTGGAAAAGGAATCTTCAAAGATAACAGGGAAATCGTTTTTTAAAAACCTGCTAAAGATAGTATTTCTAACCTCTAAGCTCCAGGTTCATCATTCACAAAATAGGGAAAATAGTACCTATCTTATGATTTATGAAGATTAAATGAGACAGCCCATATAAAACACCTAGAAGAGTGTGCAGTATCTCGTAAGCACTCAGTCACATTGGTTATTAGTACTGAGTGCTTGTTAGAAACTCATCTTTCGGCCGGGCGCGGTGGCTCAAGCCTGTAATCCCAGCACTTTGGGAGGCCAACACGGGCGGATCACGAGGTCAGGAGTCCTGTCTCTTATACACATCTAGATGTGTATAAGAGACAGATTTATTGACTATTCTCAGCATGTGCTAGTTAGGGAGAGGAACAAGAATGGATGCCCACCTTTTAGTTCATTATCAGGCTGGGCCGGCCAAACTATCAGTTATTTATTGACTATTCTCAGCATGTGCTAGTTAGGGAGAGGAACAAGAATGGATGCCCACCTTTTAGTTCATTATCAGGCTGGGCCGGCCAAACTATCAGTTATTTATTGACTATTCTCAGCATGTGCTAGTTAGGGAGAGGAACAATGGTTGGTCTATACACCTTTGTCTTCCTATACACAGTCACATTTGTCATTAGACAGACATTCCCTGCTTTTACTGTGTAGAAACGGGTGAGTGACAACACCAGTGGAAGTCTAAGACAGTGTCCTCTGTGACTGGTAATGCACACAATTCAGACTTTTAGTTTTCTGGTGAAAAGAGATAAAAGAGAGAAATGGCCGGGTGTGGATGCTCATGCCTGTAATTCCAGCACTTTGAGAGGTCAAGGCAGGCAGATTGTTTGAGCTCAGGAGTTCGAGATCAGCCTGGGCAATATGGCGAAACCCCGTCCCTACAAAAAAATTTTAAAAATAGCCGGGCATGGTGATACACACCTGTGGTTCCAGCTACTCCGAAGGCTAAGGTGGAAGGATCCCTTGAGCCCAGGAGATAGAGGCTGTAATGAGCCGAGATCATGCCACTGCACTCTGGCCTGGGTGACAGAGCAAGTCCCTGTCTAAAAAAAAAAAACTTGGGGGGGTGCGGAGAGTGGGGAGAAATGGGTCAGCAAAGGCTTCATGAGTAGGCGAGGAAGGGATCTGAGTCTTGCCCTTGAAAGATGGACAAGGTTCGTACTGGCAAAGGGGCGCAGCAGGTATCTTAGAGAAGGGTGGAGTACCTTTTCTATGTGTATCTGCTCTAGATAAAGGTAGAATACCTCATACCATGTGTGAAGCTATAGAAACAATTTACCCTGGAGGATGTTCAGGAAGCGGGTGGGCAAAGGACCTCCAGAATAAGCCTGCCCACAAGGGAAAAAAGGCGATACCTTGGTAGCTAGCTGAGGGATTAGAACCTCGGCAAAGCGGAACTGTTTACATTTTAAAAAATTTTATTATTTATTATTATTATTATTGTTGTTGAGACCAAGTCTCGCTGTGTTGCCCAGGCTAGAGTGTGGTGGCTTGATCTCAGCTCACTGCAGCCTCCGATCCTGGGCTCAAGCAATTATCCTGCCTTAGTCTCCCTAGTAGCTGGAATTACAGGCGTGCGTTACCATGCCCAGCTAATTTGTGTACTTTTAGTAGAGACGGGGTTTCACCATGTTGGCCAGGCTGGTCTCGAACTCCTGGCCTCAAGTGATCTGCCTGCCTCAGCCTGCCAAAGTGCTGGGATTACAGGCATGAGCCACCGTACCTGGCCATTTTTTCTTTTTTTAAAACTTACGGTAAAATAAACATAGTACAGGTATTACCATTTTAGCCACTTTTTCGCAGGCAGTTCAGTGGTGGAGTAGTCCCCGCTTTTCCACAGGGGATTCATTCCAAAAGCCCCAGCGGATGCCTGAAATCTCAGATAGTACTGAACCCCATCTGTACTACGTTTTTTCCTGTACATACATACTTAGGATAAAGCTTAACTTATAAATTAGGCACAGTAAGAGATTAACAATAATAAAATAGAACAACTATAACAATATACTGTAATAAGAGTTATGTGAAAGTGGTCCCTCTCGCTTAAAATACCTTATTTACTATAGATCTTAAAAACCTCAGTATACAATTCTTTTTTTTTTTTTCTTTATTAAGTCAAGAACTTTAACCTTTTCACTTAAAGGAAGCACTTCTTGTTGGCATGTCCAAATTGCATCACCATTCTTGTGCTTTGGGGCCATTGTCATGTAAAATAAGGGTTACTTGAACACAAGTGTGGTGATACTCTGACAGCCAACTACTAAGCATTTATAGCATGGATACAAAAGGATGATTCACTTTCCAGGCAGGATGGAGCAGGGTGTGAGATTTCATCACGCTACTCAGAACGGCACATAATTTAAAATGTATGAATTGTTCCTTTCTGGAATTTTCTTTTTCTATTAAATTTCTATTTAATGTTTTTGGACTGCAGTTGACCACGGGTAACTGAAACCTGGGAAAGCAAAACCACAGATAAGGGGGGACTACTGTATTTTTTTTTTGAGATGGAGTCTTGCTCTGTCACCCAGGCTGGAGTACAGTGGCACAATCTCAGCTCACTGCAAGCTCTGCCTCCTGGGTTCACACCATTCTCCTGCCTCAGTCTCCCCAGTAGCTGGGACTACAGACGCCCGCCACCACACCTGGCTAATTTTTTGTATTTTTAATAGAGACGGGGTTTCACCGTGTTAGCCAGGATGGTCTCGCTCTCCTGACCTCGTGATCCGCCCG